ATTTGAGAAAACAATGAAGAATTTGTATAACCAGACAATTTCAAACGGCAATTAAAAGTAACGACAACTCAATGTCCTTCCTTTATATAGAAATTTAATAGCAAATGAAGAACCTTAAGAGTGAATGCTCACCCATCATGTCCATCGGGAAACAATACAGTGAGCAGTTTCTTGACTTCTCTAACAACAACACTGAAAGATAAAACTCACATTATAAAACAGATCATCAGAATGCTATATAAAGAAGATTTCAACAACAAAAGCTTACCTCCCTGAATTTTTTAAGTCAATACCACCCAATGTCATATTTACTTCACCACCTTTCTGTAAAAGATAGACAAAGCAGCAAAGACATTGAGAGTCTAAGCTGAAGAACAAAAATAGACCCCTCTATTTATTTTTATACACTTTAAGATTAGGCAACAAATGACATAAATGTCAATGTGCCTCTTAGAAGCATATTACATATATAACCTCAAATACCAAAGAAAGTACATCTATTTACATTAAAAAAAATTGTCATATTGCAAGTAAGCCACTTAAGCAATTCCCAAGGATCACAAGGCATGCAAGAATAACTAAGGCAACTTTGCATGCCAAATTCAAGCCTCTAAATCAATCTCAATTCATAAGGAAGCATCAATCTCAATTTTCAGGCATCAATCTTAATTTTCCCACATTGGTAAGTAGGCATCAATCTTAGTTTGTCCACATTTGTCAATAGGCATCAATCTTAATTTCTCACATTCTTAAATAGGTATCAATCTCAATTTCCCACATTCATAAGGAGGCATCCATCTCAATTTTTCCACATTCGTAAATAGCATCCATCTTAATTGTCCAGCCTTCATACATAGGCATCAATATCAACTTTCCCACATTCATAAATAGGCATCACTTTTGATTTATCGCATAGGGAAATAGGCATCAATCTCAATATTCCTACATTCGTAAATAAGCATGATCTCAATTTTCCCACATTCTTAAATAGGAATGCCAAAAGCTATTGAAGAGGACAGATGTAAGCACATAATAAATTGTGACAATGTTTAGCAAGTTTAAAAATCTTTCCTACCCAAAACTAGGGGGAAAGATGAGGGGAAACTAACAAGGGACGCCAACCATATATATAAAAACACTGTCCAATCCTATATTTTGAAGTAAAAGAAAACAATACAGGTATTGAAGTGAAACATTTCATAACTACTTTGAAACTTCATATCTTGCCGGTCACTTGGCACATTATGCAAGATTTGAAAGAAAGCAACCGCGCTGGCAAAAAAAAAGAAAGAAAACAACCACATCTGACCTATGTCTTCTTCCTGATTGTGTAGCCGTTCAATTATGTTCTAAAACTTTAAAGATAGAGACTTGGATCAATATTGTAACTTTGAAGAATGTCAAGAATAAAGCTTGGTTGCCCACCTCAAAACCCCTAGTTTCACAATTTGTAAATTCTTAGTCAACAGACACCAACAAAGAAAAGTATAAAGGGTTAAAAAGAGAAACAGTAACTGTATAACAAGCTGGTCAATTCACAGTTAAACTGCCAGCAGTAAGATTGATTGCCGAGCAAAGATGATGAATCCTTTGGTCCTGCAAGTTCCTTCCATCTCCATCCTCAAATCCGACCATCATTGTGTTATTTTTTTTTCATTGCGAAAATCCAAGTACAAAAGAAACATAGAAAAATAAAGACCAAAAGAGTTACCTTTAGTCGACACCATGGATAAGCGAAAAAGAAACTTTGCCCGTCAAATCTTCTTGAAGGCATAACCGATGTTTTTAGTTATGTAAAACAAAGGCACCAACAACATCAAATGACAGGTAAGGTGCCTGTGCTTGAGAGGTAGAAGTAGTGGCCGACTCTAGAGTTTCCACTGAGGGAGAAAGAGCACCTTTTTGAAGGAACATAATCGAACTCGAAGACGCGAACCGGACCACCAAAGACCCGAGCTGAAGTACAGTAGAGTGACGGCGGCGACAATGCAGTCTGAAAATACAAGAAAACGTCGGCGCTATTTGAGAAGGAAAAGGAGGGAAGGAGAGAAGCAAGTAGCGCGCGAAGAGTTGGGGAGGGAAAATTGCAGAAAAGCTCTGCGGAGGAGGTCGGCATCTCAAAATGACCGTTGGGATCAGGGTTGGGGTGTAAGTCTTTTGTTTTTTTTTGGGGTCCAAGTGGCAGTTCAAGCCCAAAATAAATATGAAAAAATTATAAAAAAGACCGTTAAAATTAAAAAATTATATACAAAGACTCATTCATAAAAATTATTGTCAAAATATATATTAATATTGTAACATGTTTCTATTTGTAATTTTTTTATTTTGACGGTCTTTTTTTACAATCTTTAATATAAAATCCATTTTATAATACAAATTAAATTATAAAATATGTCTCATATTAAAAATGAGAAGAGTATTCACAAATTATAATTATAATTTTTTAAACAAAGTATAGTTCTTAACTAAAAAGTAAGTTTTGTCAGGAAAAAATGTAGGGTTTTTTGGTTTTTGTTTCGCAACTACACCCATTTTTCAGAATTTTTTTTTAAATAAGATATAAAGAATTAAATATATTTGCCGACGAAAAATTACACATGTAATGAATTATATTTTGTAATAATAATATTATCTCTTATAAAGTAGAATATTTATTTTTTGGCCAGAAAAAATCATATTTATTCTTATTATCTCTTAAAAATATATATTTTTACAATGTATCATTTATTTATTTTTAAGAAATTTTATAACTGATTAGAGATCATGCGAAAAAATATTTTACATAAAATAATATTATAAATATAATACGCATACTAAATTATACTCCTCCGGTCCTTAATATAAGACCCATTTAACTAATTTGATTAAATTAAGGAAGTTAGGTAAGTTAGTTAATTATAAGAAATGTGACACGTTTTTCCTAAAACACCATAATCATCTTTCTTAATACCCTCTCTCCCCTTTCTACTTGATTATAGTTGAGGGAGTATTCATAGGGGTAATTTAGAGAACATTGATAAATATGAGAAGTGGGTCTTATATTTAGGACCAAAACCAACTCAACAATTGGGTTCTATATTAAGGACCGGAGGAGTATATGATATATTTCTTGTCATGAAAAAGATTAAAAGAAAAGAAATAAATGTTCAGTATGGAAGTAGCACGTGAGCTAGGCCCGCACAGTGTGATTGAGACGATGGCTGTATTGTATTTCTTTGGATATGGTTTCCGAAGGTGTGGTTAGATTTGACGAGAACAGAGAAGAATATATGGAAAGGAGAATTTGATTTAAACATTTTCACTTTCCTTTTGGAATGTACTGGGAAGGTTGGCTTGGGGGGGGGGGGTAGCTAGCTGAGTTTCTTCAAGACCCCAGCAATGGCTTCAAGGAGGCATTTTTCCCTCACACACATAATATGAAAACTCCTTCAAGCAGCAGTTTGGTTTCAAATGGTTACTTGAATTTACTGCTCACTAAGGAATTTGAATGAATGTACTGAAATCAAAATAAAGATTCTGTTAATTTTCTGTCTCAGAATATGCTCAGCACTCTTCAAGCATATTGATTCATTGAATGAAGTGGCAGATTAATGGGAGTCGCAAAATCAGTGAAGTTCAGCCACCTCAGGTGTTCATGAAAGCTTTTGAATTTGAAGAGTGAAGTTCCATATGCATCTCCAAGTACTGCTTCTGAATAAGGAGAAAGCCAAAGCAAATATGTATCAGGAGACAAACAGGCAAATATGCAACGTCCTTTGCATAATCTCATCTCTCTTATTTTACGTTTTCCCCTGATTCATAATAGTAAACGGAATGACCTTGGGTCTGCTATTTAACTCCAAACCGCAATCCTTAATTTCTACATCTCTCTTTGTGCTTCTTTTCCCTTTATCATATACTAGTATATACGTATGTATAACGATTGCTATCACTTCACCTAAAAAAAATGATTGCTATTGTTGTACACTGACAATATCATAACAAACACAAACGTAAGGCAGTTTGACAAGGAAAGAAGTTTGGTCAAACTACGTCGTGATGAGCAATATTTCTTTTTCAGTTTAGTAAAAATTTATGATGATCTTACCCCACTATGAATTAAGGAATGGAGGTTAATTGAGAAATGATCACGTTTAGAACAGAGAATGACATTTTTATTTTCCCCCTAAGCATTACCTGTTCAGGAGACGGAACATGGCGCGTGGCCCAGACAGCCTTGTGTAGATGTATTGTAGTCACTTCCATTTATGGGCGATCATGTTTACATTTGACGTCTCAAAATTATTACTACTCTCGTTTTTAATGTAAAACTCACGTTGTAATTCAATTTATACTACTACCTCCGGTCTTTAATATAAGACCCCGTTTGACTTTTAGTTTGGTCCTAATTATAAGACCCCAATCCATTTTGTCTTTCATATTTATGCATTTTTTCCCAAGATAGTCCTTCTAATAATGATAGTTCTAACCAACACACTTAATTAGCAATGATAATTTAGAAATGACAACACTTATTTGTTACAAATAACTAACTTAACTTACTTCCTTAATCTCCTCAAATTAGTCAACTGGATCTTATAATTAGGACCGGAGGTAGTATAAAATAAGTTTCATATTAAGGTCTGAAAGAATATTAAACTGTTCATGTTTTAAGAATAAAAATATATTTTTATCCGTCTAATATCTATGGTTAAAATCTTGAAAATATTTTATTAAAAATTAAAAAAAAAATCTACTGCCATTAGTGACCCACAAATATAATTTTCTCTTGAACCCGGTTCATTTCCTGATCTTCTACCAGCAGGAATCCAACCAAACACTGCAAACTAATTGTAGTGAATTACATTGATTATAGTCCCTCTAAATAGAAAGGAGAAAGGAAGCTAAACCGTCAAACCCCAACGAAATCACTAAAAGCCTTTACAACCAAACTCATCTCGAAACTATGATAGGCTGAAAACTCGCGAGCTTGTTACCACAAAAACCCAAAAGCAAGGACATTTCTACTGTAAAGGCTAAACTTCGAAACCATAACGAAGTTTAAATCCCAAATTGCATTTTCCTTTTCCAAATTTGGCCAGAAGGGGAAGGAATGAAATGTCAAAACATCTTACGATGAGATTCAGCGTACAATAATGGTTAAGAAAACTCGTATAATCACCCACTGTACATAAAAAGCACTCACCCTGCGATATTCACAATGTCTACTTATAATGTTCCTTTCCTCTGTAGTTGGCTTCATCCACATCACAATCTTTATGTTCAAACTTAAGTTGTTTCATCAAATACCATCACCTACACCAAAGCCAAAGCATAAGTAAACAACCACTCCGTTTTAGATCATTCAACTATTAACTTGGTTCTATTGTAGTACTTAAGCTCATATATCATGAAGACACGTTTCCAGCAGCTGGAGAATAATGTTCAACCATATCCTCTCAAGCCAGGCTTGGCTCAAACACCAGTTGGATCGGTACAAAAATAATATGATAAACCATAAAAGATTGTATGGGTGTTAGTGTAAATATATAATACAAAAACATGGATGGGTAAATTCACACAAAAAAAACTGTACAGTTGAAGATGATGAGCCAAACAAATTGTAGCAGAGAAGACAGAACAGAAACCCGCTTTAAAGGCATTTGAGCATTCAATTTTCATTGGTTCAACTTCACTCTCACCTCTCAACTATCTGAACTGGCTCCGTCACGGATTTAATTGTATACCTAGAAACTTTCCTATAAGCACTTCGAAAAAGATAAAATTTGGGAATATGACTTAATAATAATACTACTACTATCAAGAACAAGACTTCAAAAAAGGAAACTACCCCTTCAAGCATGCTAATAATAACAGACACAGAGACGGCCTAGTATTATTCATGTTGAGGGATGTATTGGCAACATGAAGGGACCCGACCTACTGATCCAACTAATTTGCAGCATTCTGAGTTGTCAGAATGCTGCACATCACTGTTTACTACATAAATTGCATCTGCAATTCAAACCAACGATGCCACAAAAACAATCCAACCTACAATCAGTCATTGCACTCCCAAATGGAAACAAACCGTGCATTATGAATCATGTTTTGCACAATTCTGGCAAATGCCATGAGAAGTACAGGCAGTAAACAAAAGTTTCAAATGCTGATGCAAATTACGTTGATAGTTCTAAACACAGTTGATTACAGAGCTTGGCAATCTCTTTTTTTTTTTTTTTTTTTCCTGAGCTGAAACAGAGCTTGGCAATCTAATTCTTTGTAATCTGGGAGAATTCTAATTTTGACAACAAAACCACAAAAAAACTGACAAACTAAGCCCAGCATGAGCCAGTATCTCCGTTAAATGCAATATGAAAATCACCAAATTAACCTCAATTCTAGAAGCTTCCCAACTATTCACAAGCAAATCGTTGCATACAGCTATAATAGAGCAGTAGAGGCAGTTAAAAGAAGTTGATGGTGAGAGAAAACGAAATAGATAAGATAGAGTGTAATAATGTAGGATCCTAAGTAAACTATCACGGAATTGAGACAGCCTTCAGATTCCTTTTATTTTTATGCCTAGATAACAAGAGGCCATAAGCAGCTGAATAGCAAACATGTTCGGTAATTGCAATTATCAAGCTTCACAGAAAACTTTGACACACAACATGCTAATTGATGATGAATTGACAACCACTTCAGTCAGAAAGAAACTAGAAATTATCAAGAGAAAAAACTACCTTCCCACAAACTGGACAGCTCTCACTTCTCTCCATCCATTCGTAAATGCAACTAAGATGAAAATGATGATTGCACTTTGTCAATATCCTTGGGTTCTCTTCAGTGTATTCTGCGAACAAAAATTAACAGCATAAATATGAAACGCCATTAAAGGCCCTCTTATCTTAATAACGCATTTCACACAATCAACAAACTGATCATGCATAAGCAAGCCACAACTCCAGTCGTATAATGAAAACTCAAGATTAGCGGAAAATTCTACCTTCAAGACAAGTTGGGCAAACATCCTCTTCTTCTGATGATGCATAAGCAAGACCAGCTCCAGTTGTATATTTTGCTGATGAGAGCCTTACTGAGGACTTAGATTTGTATTCCTTTGATGCATTTTCACAGGAAGATTCATTACATTTGCCTCCGGAATTTAAAGATTCTTGATCCCCATCTATATCACCTGTTAGAGGTTCTGACTCTTCATTCAAATGACTTGAACCTTTGTCATGTCTTGAAGCAAATAAATCACGTGAGCGGAAATGCCTGGGGTCTACGTCATAAGGCAAGGGCCTTGGAGGAGAATGGTACATGTCAGACATCGAATTATCAAGTGATGCTGTAGAAGTCATAGATGCTGCCCCCTGTATAGATGAAGGAAGCGAATGCACTTCCCCCCTGCGGAATATTGCTGTATACTGAAATTTGATAAAATATGAATCAGGCTGTGTTTGTATCATCAACTAGAGCACTCATCAATAACAGAACACATCATACAGAAAAGGTATTGTAGGACTTGAACATTCTACAGACTTCACACCGAGTAAATTAGATTAAGGGATAAAAAAAATCCACTTTTATCATCTAATTGGTAATTAGCTCTTATCTGATTTTGTTTATGTTGTTAAGATGGCAAACTTGTCTCTCCAAATATTGGCGTGCAGATAGCTCATTTTAAGGCTCACTTAAAAATTGTAAGACTTACATAAACAGCCCTAAATATTGGGGGATTAGGAGGCATACTTATGACACTGGAGGGATTAAAGACCACTACCCTGAAGAGGAAAATGTAACTAATCCCCCAGCAAAGTACTTCAGTTGCATGTCAAAACGATTAAAGGATGCAAATGTAAATCTTCGGTTAGAAAAACCACATTCAAGAACCACATTATGTAAAATTGTAAATACATATGCCATTTCATAAGCACAGAATTACTAAGAAATCAATATCTCAAGTCATATGGGAAGGAATTGAAAGGACAGTTATATACAAAAGAAAATGAATGAAGGATGTACATATACAACTTTACTTAGCAAAACCTCAGGCCAGAACCTGAAATTACGATAAACCAATATGCTACTCCACTAGCAAACAAGTACATATAAATAGTAACGTCTCAAGTCACAAGGGAAGGAATCAAAATCAAATTATGGACAAATAACACATGATATGTAGATGAGAAAAGGTATTAGAAAAAGGTGAGAAGGGGCTACAGCATACCACATTCAAAAAGTTCTGTAAGAAGCAATTGAGACACCCACAATTTCTATATACAGAACTATTTCGATTTACATAATCTTCAAATTCATCAGCACTCATACAACAACAAACAGAACCCATTGTGCCAGCCTCTAGCTCTCTTTAGCTTAAAATATTTCCCTCTTAAACTGCTCAGCTAAAATAGATAGTGCAAAACCCAAGTTTTGAGAAAAAGAGCCTCCAACAGCATAAGCTGTGCTCTGATCAAGAAGCGAGAGAGGATTCTAAGCTCGCAGAAGTCCCACTGCCCCCGCAAACCAGCCCCCTCCCTCTTTAATTCAGATGCCCCTGCAAAAAGAATAATCAACTCATACTCGTCTTTCTTACATGAAAAGTGCAACAGAATCGAATAAAAGACTATAGAAAAGGTGGGAAAGCTATCAAGGCTGTCATTCAGGCAATTCAAGGCAATTCATACTTCAGTAACTAACATTTACTTTAGAAGCACCAAATGCTGTCATCGAGCAATGCAGCCAATGTCCATGGTCAAAAGCACTTCAAAGGTTACCAATGGAAGATCAGGAGTGCAATATACGAGCAAGCCGTTCAAAACAAAGAAAAACAATACAACTAAGAAATTAATATCGAATAAAAAACAAAACTCCAAATTTATTTGCTTCGAGGAAAAGATTTCGGTTCTCTGCCACAAAAGGACAATTTCACCTTGACATTTTTCCTCCGAATTGGGAAAAAAATGATCCTTTCCTTCAGTAGTAAGACACACCGATGGATGAACTAACACGAAAATCATTGCTTTCCCATGGCATATTATGATCGCTATTACCAACAACATGCCAACAGGCAGTCAAGTTCAAACGAGGAATTCGGACGACTAGAAAACCACAGATTACGGGAGAAATCGCATTCAAATTGTCTGAGCGTATCAAAGAAGAAAAATCGACCGAGAAAATTGACGAAAAAGAATACACCCAGTTGAGTTTATCAAACTACGAGACAATCGGAGTGTTCAAATCCACTATCGGATGCAAAAGTAAAACTGCGCAGAGAGGCTTGATGTTAGAAAGAGGAAATACCTGAGCGAGACAGAAAGAGAGAGAGCTGATTGGTAGAGAGAGAATTAGATTGAATGATGATCTTCCGTGAAGACAACGACAGAGGAAGCAGGAAGTCCGAAATTCGGTGGACTAGATGATTCGGAAATCTGATTCTAAAAAAGGATACAATCGTGGGGCTTTTGGAATTTACGGCGAGAATAGCTATGAGTCCACCAAATTAAGGCTGCCCTCCTGGTCTCTCTCCTCTTGTTCCCTTGGCTTGGGTGAGAACCGAGAAGGAATCAAACCCCAACTTTTACTTATAATTAAATAAAAGACTCAAGAGGCAGCCTCACTCCTGTTAATCCCGGCCCCATTCACAAAGTTGCACCGCCTGCGTCGATCGAAATTGAAATTTAAAAAAGCAAAACAAACGAAAAATATTTTTCTTCTCTCATCTACGCGCATGATTCAATGCGGCCCTCCTTGACATATTCATGACAACAAGGCCAAAGATGGTATCGGTATTCGTTATGGCGAGCGATACAATCCGTGCTTTTGTGACCGAATCTGTACCGTAACTCTTACGCTAACGCGCGAACGTTAGTTATTCCTCAATTTTCATTTGCAAATTAACAGAAAATCACGACAAAAAAGAGTGAACAGAGAAAAAAACGAATATGCATTACTAACTCATCTCCTTAAAACTAAATAACTAATTTACAAATACTAAAAAACGAATTTAATTATTTTATTATCTATGATAAATAAGTATTATATTTTTTAAAATATTATTATTAATTATGCGTATTAGTATGAAAATCTTTTAACATATACAATCACTATATAGGGACTACTTTAAAAAAATGAATTAAGATTTTTTATTTAAAATTAAAGTTGGATATCTAACTAGTTTTTATATTTAGGATGAGAGGTAATATGGTGGGTCTAATAACCTAGATAATACCAAACACCTTGTTTTGGTAACAACGAAGCGTAAATTATAACAAAAATGTGTGTGGTGTGGGTAACATACATGCCTTATATTTTTCATAGTATATTTTATTTCGTTGAATTATATGGTATTATAATCTGTAAATTCGTGCTCCAAAAAAATATAAATTCAAAATTTATCTAGCTGTGTATGCTGATATATAACATGTAATACTATGGTGTAAATATAAATAACTTATTTTAGTTAAAACACCGCATTCACATATACACCTTTTGGTCAACGATATCGTACATTCATATGGAAAACAACATGTAGAAATATTCCCAAAGTTGCTTACTGGAGTAGGTGTGCCAAAGAAGAATTTGCTTTGACTAGTTCTCCTTTGTTTTACCGCAAAACAAGTCTTTCTAGGAAATTTTTTTTTGTCCATATTATAAATGTTTTTAGAAATCTAAAAGAGCATTTGTATATTTTTCAAGCTGTGTATGATGATTTTAAAAACATTTATATTCTAAAACAGGGGGGGCTAATTTTCTTTTGTCGGAGAAAAAGAAAGGTAGTTTCCTTTCCCTTTCTGGAGTCACTATTTTTTTTGCCCCCTAAACCCTTTTGGAGTCACTTGCGAGTTGCGACAGCGTCTCCGCTGAGATGGGTAAACAATATTTCCGTGAAGTTGGCCCAAAAAAAAAAAAAAAACATTTCCATGAAAGTTTCCAATGTGCCGAGAACACATCCGTTTGTTTTTGCTTGCAGTCACACAGGCTTGGGCTTTTCGCAAAAGAAACAATGAAGTGACACGGGCTTAATATTCTCTTATATAACCCATCGTGTTTGGATAAAACAGGAGGGTTTTGTTTCTCATAAAACAGTAAGTCAAAGTTTAAATTTTTACGGAAAAAAATATTCATATTTAATGCCTGATAACAACTCATATAAGACTATTTCCAATAGAAATATGTCTATTCTTAACAAAAGAAAATTCTCTTGCACTTCTCTTGTACTCCTCTTGTTCTATTTAATTAAAAGACAATCACAAGTCTTAGCACAGTTAGTATTTAATTAAGTTTCTTAAACATCAGCACCCAACCAGAAAAAATGATCAAAAGACTGATAGAACTTTTGTTATCCTAAATTACATTATTCAATTTATCATACAGATGTATAATTTTATTTTTTTAAGTAATTGTTTTGTAGACTATGATTTTCGTGAAAAAATATATATTAAATAGAAGAAAAATTTGGAAGTTATTAAATGTTAAAAGAGTTAGAAAATTTAAAATCTCTTTAATTCTAATAAACTATATTGAGAGTGCTTTATAAGTAAAATCAGAGCGGTATGCTATCAATGCAATCTACCAACAACCGTTCATTGCATTTTTCGATTTTTTTCCCAATAAATTATAGATTATAATAATACTTGAATAAGACTTTCTTTATTCTTATTTACAAGTGGCTTTCAACTAATGCACATAAATTAAAAGCATGTTTTTGGAGTGAATCCTAAAGCATGGGTGACACATAAAATTGAATGATTGGTTTAAAAAAAAAAAAAACATAAGGGCCTGTAATGATAGAAACCTACAAAAACAGGATCAACTGTGATGAGCACTAGGCTCCTCGCATATGTCTGGTATCTAATAAAGAATGTTTATCTAATAAGAACATATCGGCGTTTTAACTCAGCCGATTGACGATTGATGGAGCAACAATTCAATCCAGACTCTCCAACGCGAAAAGAGCCTTAATAATGGAGCTGTGAATTCCATATGAATCGGTACATGACTTGAGCCTCCAGAGAATGACAATTAAGCCCAGGGCCACATAGCCAGCCACTCCTATAATCAGACTACATGGTTGCTTTTAATAGTTCATCCCAATGACTCTGTTTTAATTCAAGGACAGCAATGGATGTAACATTCATCCTGGGAGCATTTGGGTGTAAAATGAAATCACGTGTTTCATGCAAATACATGCCTGACACTGTTATCATCTAAAAGCTTTAATGGAATTCCCATTCCAATCTTCCCAACAGTCTGGCTGCATACCACTTACAGTTCTGAGTCGTGAATCCCATTAATGAATCAGTCTTTCACCGTTTTCTTATTAAGCGGCTGAAGCCAATCATTGAGAATCTTCTCTAAAATACATTTGTTCTTCTCCCACAAAGTGACAAAGACATTTTTCTTCAACTCAATCTTCTTTCAAATCCCATGCACCCATCACAAAACAAGTGAGATTATAACATAGTAAACTCATAGGCAGCTCTCTGGTGGAAGAATTTTCTCTCTCGGAGGTTTTCCTGCATCAACATTTTCTTTATTGCTTCCTTTTCCTGCTACTTTCTTAACTCCAAGTGCATTTCAGAGTTCAAACCAATCTTAAACTTCAAAAATAATATGAAAAAGCATCTCCTATAAAACTGCATCACATGGTCGTGGCCACCACAGTTTATGACTGCTCCTCCTGTGAATCCAGCAAAGACATACTTTCTCTGTGTAAATGTTGGTCCTCTGTCATGTCCTGTGGACTCACAGAATATGTGGCTGCTCTCCGTGTCTCGTGAACCAACGGGACTCCAACTGTATCTATTGGCATCTTTAATACCCACTAAAGAACAAACCTTCAACTAAATTGTTCACAGAATGTAGGAGCTTCTCTTTATCTAAACCTTCCCCTCCTCCGAAATACCTTCGTCATTAGACGTTTGGTCGAGGGATATCAGACCTACATTCACTGCTTTCTAGGTTACAGTTGACTGGGTTTTGCATGATTGGAATAAATGACCTGTTTTTGCAGGTCTATATAAGAGGTGTCTCATTTGATTTTCTTATCATGCACATCGAAAAAGAGTCCAGGAAAGATAAGAAAGAAGAAGAGACACACGAGAGCATACTTTGAGCAGTGAATAAGGCTACAGGCCGTCACCTTGTCTTTTGAAGCAGAATCTCTCAGAGAAAAATCCGTAAGAATGCCTTGGTTCCTCGTAATTCTGTTTCTCAGTCTCACATTTGGTAATGTCTCAGAGGCCACGAAGCATCCTTCTGCTGCCGTTGTGGTTGGCACTGTCTACTGTGACACATGTTTTCAACGGGATTTCCCCATGAGCAGCCACTTCATTTCAGGTGGCATCTCAATCACATTCTTCACTTGAGCCTTCCCATATTTGATGCTAATGCTATAATTCTGTATTCTTGCGTACAGGGGCATCAGTTGCTGTGGAATGCAAAGACGGGAATTCAAAACCAAAATTCAGGAAAGAAGCAAAGACAGACGAACAAGGGGAGTTTAAAGTGCAGCTTCCTTTCTCAGTGAGCAAACACGTGAAGAGAATCAAGGGATGCACTGTGAAACTGGTAAGTAGCAGTGAGCCATATTGTGCAGTGGCTTCAGCAGCAACGTCTTCTTCGCTTCGTCTCAAATCGAGGAAGCAAGGAGAGCACGTATTCTCTGCTGGGTTTTTCTCTTTCAAGCCTCTTAAACAGCCAAACCTCTGCAACCAGAAACCAAGAATTGAGAATTCCAAGCAAGTTGGTTCCTTGAAAACTGCGTTTTCTCCAAACGTAGATTCAACATTTCCGCCACCCATTCAGGACCCACCGACAAGGGATGGTTTTCTTCCTCCTCTTCCTCAATTACCAGAGATTCCTCCTCTGCCACCCCTTCCGAAAATGCAATGGCCATTTCCAGTCCCAGGAAGAAGAGTGAAAAACTCAATCAAACCTCAGTTTTCAGATAGGAAAGTAGCTCGACCTGACACGTTCCCCTTGCCGTCTTACCCAATTCCATTACCGCCAGGTATCCCCAACCCCCGCCTTGGTCCTTTTCAGCCACCTCCTCTGATTCCGAGTCCACCAGGCACACCGCCATTGAACCCTAATCCCCCACCAGGACCGGGTCTAACTCCATCTCCACAGACGGGTCTTCCTCCTTTCCCATTCTGGCCTCCACCTGGTGCACCCCCCGCTGCTTCTTCAAAGAATTCTGCTCCTTGATAAGATGGAATCCATCTACGGGTAGTCATGCAATAATTCCTTCCGCTAGAGCATGTTGTTTACTTTTCTTCGCAAAAGCTAGTAGTAACGTGAAGATGGACAGATGCGCACCGCAAGCTAACCATCATTGAAGAGTTGGGATATGGACATTGTCCTAATAAATAAATAAATAAACATTTGCCGACTCTCTCTTGAGTGTGGGAATTTGTCTCGTGGAGCACAATAGCCCAGTTTGTTCATGTAAACCAGATTAATGTTAAATCTGTTCATCATATTACAAATTAAATAATTGCTTATAGACATATACTGATCGAATTTGGAGAATGCATGATAGATCATTTCGTCATATTCACATTATAAATCATTGCTTAACAAATACAAAAAAATATTAAGCATTCCGCGTAAACTTAGTTTTTATCGTTATAAAAATAATGAATTTTGATTTTGATCTATATATTTTATTTTTTATTTATTTTTATATTTAATTCGGTTTAAGATTTATGGCTTTTTCTTGGTGACCGTTAGACCAATTCTTTATTAGTATATACTCCTTATCATTTAAATGTTAGTATATATAATTTCATAAGAATTTGATTTTGAATTTAATTAAATAAAAGAACCAAAATCAAATGCATGGTGATTTTGATTGACAATATCAATTTTAAGCGGAACAATTGATTTTCACTGCTGGCAAAAAAAAGTGATTTTCACTAATAAAATCTGATTTTTCAACATTTAAATTCACATTTTATTTCCTTATTTTTAAATATAATCTTGTTAATTGGAGCGAGTGCAATTGTTTTTAAGTGATGCAATTCTCGTTTAATTAGGTGCAATAATATGTCGTTAATAAATAAAAGAATCAAAATCAAAGCCCATCAAAAATATAAATTGAAAAAAGCAATTCAAATGCGTGGTGATTTTGATTGACAATATCAATTTTAAGTGGAGCAATTGTTTTTCACTAATAAAATCTGACTTTTCAACATTTAAATTCACATTTTATTTCCTTATTTTTAAATATAATCTTGTTAATTTGAGCGAGTGCAATCATTTTTAAGTGATGCAGTTCTTATTCAATTATGTGTAATATATCTTTTTTTTTTGTTAGATATGCGCAATATGTTTTTAATTACACGCAAATGATATTTGCATTGAAAGTTTTTGTATGTAATTGAAAATAAGTTATTACATAACATTGGAGAGTGGTTGTATCACGAAGTAATCGTCCTTACAAAGAAATTTTGCCAAATGGGAAGTGTTTCCCCTAATAATTTTACTTGCTATTTATTGTTGTCATAACTATACATGACTATATGAGCCCTTATCTAATATATTATCTCTGGTTTTTAATATAAAATCTTGTTTGGTTTTTATTTTGATTCTAAATACAAGACTATAATTCACCTTATCTCTCATATTTATATATATTTTTTCAAAATAATCATTCTAACAATAGTAGTTCTAATCAATACATTTGATTAGCAAGGATATTTTAGAAAAGACAACACCTATTTAGGACAGATAACTAACTCAACTTATTTTTTTAATTTTCTCAAATTAGTCAACTAGTTTTTATAATTAGAACCAGAAATAATATCAAGTTGAAAAAAACACATACACTACAAAAAAAAATGAATTGGAATATCTTTTCCCTAGATTGGACAGGGCACGCCAAAAATGAACACAGAAGGCCCGAAGCAAGATAGTGATTGCCTCCTTGGACTTTACTCCTCAGGCATCGCAGATAATGATAAAAACATCAGTCAATGCTTTATATATATATATATATATATATATATAAAGGAAAAGTGATAATTATTAAATTATAAAAGCACTACAATAAACAGGTTAAAAAAAGAGAGAAGGAACGCCTAACATTATTAGCGAATAAATTACAAGTTATAAGATGCTTCGCCTTTATTTTTTGGGGAAATCTAAAAAAACTATCTTTAAATTTTAAAATTTTAAATCAGACTTTCACTAGATTTTAATAATATTTGATAGTATTTAAAAATCAAATAACAACACATTTTTGTAATTATTCTTAATTCTTAATTTAAAATTTTAGAGGTATTTTTTTAAATTTTTTTTCTTATCTCTTTTTCACCCCTCAAAAAGGACATTTCAGTTTACTCATTTATATGGTGCTTACATGCATAATTGTTTTTATCAAACTTATATGCATAATTTAAACACAGAGAAAGCTAATCTCGATATTAATGGCGCCTTTGACAAACCCGGGCAGTAATTTTAAAAGTAAAAATTCCAAATTTTTTGTATATTTAAGAATTTCATTGTCAAACATTTATTTCTGTACAAGATATATTCGTTACTATTTATTTTTGTTACATGACGGATGAAAAGATTTAAAATGACCCCTCCATTATTTAAAAGAATGAGAATCTCAAATATATGAATCTACTTGTATTTTCAATTTTCACTTTATAAACGACAAATATGAATCGAATAATAACATTATCTTTAAAGCATGGAAAATACGATTTTTTAAAAAAATTACAAAGTAAAATCCACATAATTTTTCCAATAACACGATCAATATATTTAAATAAAACCTCTACGTTACTTTCACACTAACATGAGTAATTTTTAGATATTTTAAAAATTATATGTGCACAAAACCTTATTATAAAGAGGACGAGACCTTAGTAAAAGTTTATATAGTTATCATTACAAGGTCAAACAAAAGATATAGTTGCCATTAAAGCACTTCTACTAATTTATGTCAAGAGTACAATATGCTAAAATATAAATTTTTTTTTATCATTACATACTTATTAATTTTGATGTAAACACTTATTAAAATGGATTTTTTTTGGCCGGATGTAAAATGGCTAACCAAACTTCTATTAGCAGGTTACTTAAAGATCTGTTTGGATCAGTGGTTAGAAAAGTAGTTTATTATTAATTTAATTTTTGAAAAAGTGAGTTGAATGATGTGAATTGTGTTTGTATTGGATTTTTATAAAAATTAGTTTGTAAAAGTTAAATTAAGTAGAAAGTGGTTTGGATTATGATTGAATAAAAATAAATTTAATTTGTATAATTACCAAAATAGATATAAGTTTTATTAGATAATGAAAAATAATATAAATTTTTTTACATAATACCATGAATTTAAATTAGTAAGTTTAGTTTATATAATTACCCAAACCAGTATGAGTTTTATAAAATAATGATAAATGAATTTAAATTATTTTAATACAATAAAAAAAGAAGAAGTATGAGCTGTATCTAGGCGAAACAAGTTTCAATTTGGAACAAGAGGTTTGGGTGAAATAAACGACAGAATAATAGCGGAGGAACGAGAAAAAAAATACTCCTCCGGTCCTTATTATAAGATCCAATTTGACTTTTTATTTGGTCCTAATTATAAGACCCAATCCATTTTCTCTCTTATATTTATGCATTTTTTTCCAAGATAATCCTTCTAATAATGATAGTTTTAGCCAATATACTTAATTAGCAAGGATATTTTAAGAATAACAACACTTATTTATTATAAATAACCAACTTAACTTACTTCCTTAATCTCTTCAAATAAGTCAATTGGGTCTTATAATTAGGACCGGAGGAGTAAAATTTTCTGACAATTCCAATAATCTTAAACACGATTTCACTTCAATAAGTTACTTCATATCAGCTTATCTTTAAGTTCGTTTCAATCCAGCTTTTTGTGCCCAAATACGATGACTTATAAGCTTTGCCAAACTCCTTCCAACTTTTTAAATGGGCTTATCAGGAAAATAAGTTATTTTTGGGGCTTAATAGCTTAACCAAATAGGGGATAAATTTGTCTCAACTGTTAACCTGATCCCTAAAATCTAATATTTATCAATTAAACTCCTAAAATTTTATAATGGTATACAACTAATCCTCATAACTCAAAAGGAAAAATAAAATCATGAGACTATGAAACTTTTAATGGAGACAAATTCAGGTAAAAAATGTTATTATTCCTAAATTAAACTCCTTTTTTTTTTAGATGCGAAAATTAAACTCAGTTGGAGTAGCCCCACGTGGGATTCGGAGGGTCCAGTGGGGCCCACGTGGCGAAATTATGTGCGTGAAGTACCAGTGTCTGACTCTCTGTCACTATTATGTTGTCAATTCACAACATTAAATGAAATAAAAATAATAATAAATATATTAAATCCGTTCAACCTCGTCGGCTGAAGCCGTACTGTCTTTTTCTTGTTGAAGGGAAGTTAGAGAAACTTCCGAGAGCGGGAGTGCCAAACGGAGCCGCTTCTTTCGCGGCTTTTGATGTAGAACATCAATCTATCCAATCCTGGCCGTTCATCTTCAACCTTTCTCCTAGTATCAGCCCTCTGTCCACGGCGGGGGCTCTGCCTGAACCTCTGCCCTCCCGATTCTGATCTCCCACTTGCCGGTGAGTCTCTTCTTCGGTTTTTGCTTTTGTAATTTTGAATGCAATTCACTTAGCATCGACTCTGTTGTTATTGCTTCTTTCTTTCTTTCTTCCTTCCTTCCGGTTTGAAAAACATCGGGTTGAATTGAGTTTTTATGTTTAATTCTTCTTCCTGGTTTTGGGTTCACATTTCACTTTTTGAGGTATCGAAAGTGCCTTTCCTTCCCCCCCCCCCTTTCGATCATGTTTTATTTTACATTGACGTGGCAAAATTCTTCAGTTCTCATAATAGATGTTAAGGATGGGCAGGAATGCGTGGCGGAAATCTCTACTCATAAGATTCTTGCATGTTTGCTCTTACCGGAGCCCGAAGCGGGGGAGAATCCTATCCGATTAATTATTTTTCACTTTAAATCTTAAATGTTTGCACAATAGAACGTTATCCGATTGGATTTATAAATTTGCTGGTAAAAAATTAGGCATGTTAGATATTTGATACCTGAATTATTTTAATCCATTTCTCCAAGCCCTTTTCACCGATTTATCAGTTCGATATGTCTCTTGGTGTTTTTGTGGTTCCTATAGGATTAAATTACTGATCAGTGAATTTCTCGTTGAG